CACAGGTCAGGTTGGATTTTATGGGGCGCGTTTCCCCGGTAGAAAAGAAGGTATATGTAGTAAGTCCGTGAGAAATGTAGGGACAAGTAGCACAGTTATCTGGTGAGGTTAACCAGCCTCGTTCCTTTATGGTTTATTAGTATCTCTTTGGTGCTTTCCTATCTTAGTAAACTACTATTTTTAGGCTTCCTCCAATTTAAAGATAAGTTTGTACGTTACCCAAATAACTTAAAATACCGTGACTGAACTCCTTTCTGCATGCTCGTACTCGAAAAGGATTAGGGAAATTTAACTGAATTTAATTTAAAGCCGTAAATTAAAATAACAGTGGGACGTTTTGAACAACGGACAGAAATCGCAATTCGATGTCCTTGTTTTTCCCACTCGCATCTGTTCCAGAGGCTCCGATTATCGTCGCGTCGATTGTTCAGCTCATCTGACATATACACTTCGCGTAGCTCCAACAAACACCCCGCACTTACCCCCTCCCCAGTCCTCTTACGATGTGACGACATTTGAGGATACATACACCACAACAGCACACGCCACACCGTTGCCCAGAACGTAATTTTGCAGCCACCTGAAAGCTAACCTGTTTCGCGACTTATGTTATTAATCAAACGAATTTGCCATCAACAAGATATTAATGTTTTGTACTTACTTGTTTGGTTAACGAATTCGTACTTAATTTGTCCATAAACAGAATTCATTTCATCTTGATCTTTGTCTATGGCAGTCACTTGACCAACAACTTTGCTGTTACCGGCATACATTCCCTGAAATCAAGAAAAGTAAACAAGCAAACAGCGAAAAATTCTCTCGTTAAACTTTTATGTTTAGACACTACGAGGGGAAGACAAGAAAGAAGAATTAAAACACGACGTGATGCTTACCTCTTTTGCAGTAAAAAAGAACTTTTGCTGAGTAAACGAAGGAGTGTTGTCGTTAACATTTTCAAGCTCGACAATAACTGTTGTATTTCTAAAAGAAAAAAGAGTTTTGCGACAATTCATGTAACGTTCCTTGGTTTAGAGATAGCAGAAGCTCACGCTGTTTCTTAGTATCATGAGGAGACGACGTCTTAATGACATTACTAGTTTGCTTTTATTATGATACGGTCTGCTCCGCAGTAGATAAAATAGCAGGGGCGGATCTAGGGGGAGGGTCACAGGAGGTGGAACCTTTCT